CCAGAGTCTCAACCAACCAGGGACCTGGACTCTGAGGTTTTCTGTGATTCCCTGGAGCAGCTGGAGCCTGAGCTGGTGAGATAACCCCTTGTACCCTGCCTTTCCCACCCCACTGTGCCCTGGCTGCTCCTACTGCTCCCTTTGGACTTTGTGACTCACCTCAGCAGGTTTGGGCAGAGCAGATGGACACCGCTGGAGGAGAGCCTGACACCAGAAACAGCCCTGTGCCCCCAACAGGGAAAGGTGAATCAGTGCTTGACCTTTAACCCCCGTCTGCCCTTCCCCATGGTTCTACTGCCCCGGCCTTCCCCTGGCTGCCCTCTTGGGGCAGAAATGAAAGGCCAGTTCTGGGAACTGGAGAGAGCAGCCTCTGCCCAGGAAGGGTTGCCAAACAGCCAGACACTGGATGGGCAAAGTCTTTGCCTGGCCTTCTCTCCCTGAGGGCCATCAGGAGCCACCAGGCACTGAGTAAGGGCAGCTGGGGCAGAACTGCTAGCCCCCCACATAGCTACAACTACATGGCTTTGGGAGTCACTCTCTCTCTGGGCCTCCCATTTGGGACTCTGAAAGGACAGCAATGTGTTCCACTATCCCCTTTTATAACTGCCAGTGCGCCACGTCCCATAAAGGGCACTGTCATAAATATCTCCTTTGAGCCAGCCGCCCTGTGAGGGAGACATCTTTCCCTAACTTTCAGATGACAAAATGAGGCTCAGAGATATTACTGACTTGCCCAAAGTCACACAGCTACCCCTTTTAGTCTGGTACTCAGCCATGCGGATGGACTGCACAAAAGTCACACTTGGTACAGGGGATTGTGCCCTAGTCTTAATTTTCCCTGGGACTATTCCCCTGCCCCCAGCCTGCACCCACCCTGCCCCTAGCGGAATTGCCCCCTGAGTCTTCTTCCCTATGTGTCTGTTTTCCGCAGAGGGGTTGAAAAGCAGCTTGCCAGGGCCCCAGGAACTGGACTCATGGCTGGTGGGGACAGTTCGAGCACTGCAGGAGAGTATGCGGGATGTCCAGGGAAGACTGCAAAGCCTGGAGAGCATGCCTGTCCCCCCCAAGCAGGTGAGCCCCCAAGGCCAGGGTGAGACTGGGGCAGAACTCTGAAGGTCTCTATACTAGGCTCTTCATCCAGCCACTTCTTTGTCCCCACATCTCTACTTCCCACACCTTTGCCTCCCCCAAGAATGGTGTGACTTACGTCACCGGCAGGGAATTTGGGGATCTGAAGTGCTTCCTCCTGGAAGGGAGAGTGGGAAGGGCCCTCTTTTCCTGCCCTTACCACCCTTTGCCTGAAAAGACACTGAGCAGGAGGACTAATCCCAACAGTTGGAAGGGCCAGGATGTGTCTGCCCTTTGCATTGGGGCTGGGGATCCCTGTTGTCCCTCAGTTAGGACTTCTGTTCCCAGATTTAGGGTTCACTCCCAAAGAATTCAGCCTTTGCATTCCTCACTCCCTTTCCACACTCCAAGGTCTTCTTGCCCCTTACACCTCAACTTCTGCCATTTCTGGAGCCCCAGCTGTGTGCCAAAAACCATTAGTTGCATTATCTCACTTAATCCATTCAAAAACCCTATGAAATAGGTTTTCATTTCGTTATTACAGATGAGGAACCTAAGGCTCTGAGAGGCTGAGTAACCTGCCTGAGGGTACGCAGCCTGGAAGACCCTCACAGACCTGCTGTGAGGATTGGATGAGATAATGCTTGTAGGTACTTCCCCAGTACCCAGCACACACAAAGACCTCCTGGAATGGAGTTCATTGTTATTATTAGTATTAGTATTAAGTGACACAGCTGGGAGTGGCCCTACGTCTATCTCTCTCCAAAGCTAGCACCCACCACTAACTCTGAGTGGGTCTATTCTTGAGAAGCCTGGGGTGGTGGGGGCAGGCGAGGGCTGAGTTGCTGGATGTAGGCAGTCATTTAGGTGACCCCTAGATCCCCTTGGCACAGTATCAACCAGGGTGGCAGGAATTTCCTCACATCCACACTGGCTAACATTTCAACACACCCCACCCAGGCTTTTTAAATTTTGTTTACCTTTCACTAATTTTATATGCTGAAGATTTTAAAGATTTCCACCCTGGAATACTTGGGTTTGCATCTCTAAAAATAAGAACATTCTATTACCTAATTTTATCACACACTAGAATTCCTTCATATCATTAAATAGCCAATCCAAATCTCTCCAGTTGTCCCTAATTGCCTTTTCCAGCTGGTCTGTCCAGTCCAAGAGCACATTGCTGCATCTGGTTCCTCTGTCCTTTTAAGACTCTTAATCCAGACCAGTCCCTTTTCCTTGCTACTGGACTTGCTAATGAGACTTGGCCAGTGGTCCTGTAGAAATGTTCCACTTTTTGGGTCTATCTACATTCTGGTGGCTAATTTACATGGCCAGATTTCATCAGAGGTAATGTCCTTCATATCAGGGGATACATATCAATGTCCCACCATTAATGATTCTAACATGGGCCACTAGCATGAATAAAGGGGTGACAATCTGGTCCCCTCATTGTAAAATCATGTTTTTTTTCTTGCAGCCAGGGAATGTCCAGTTCCTTGTCCACCCCATTTGTCACACAGGTTTTGACAACAATTAATACATAATCCTGAATCAATAATTTATTTAGTGGTTGCAAAAAAAGTTTACTTTTAAATTCTATTATTCCTTTAAAATTTATTAGCTGTTAATTTTTTGTAGTTTCCTTCATCATCTAGGATTTCCCTGAAATACAGTGCCTTATGAAAAGGCAGCATGCATGCTTAATTCTATTTAGTTATTTATTTTAAACATATCTTTATTGATCTCAGAGAGGAAGGGAGAGAGAGAGGAACATCAATGATGAGAAAGTCATTGATCAGCTGCCTCCTGCACACCCCCAGCTGGGGATCAAGCCCACAACCCAGCCATGTGCCCTGACCGAGAATTGAACCTCGATCTCCTGGATCCTAGGTCAATGCTCAACTGCTGAGCCACGCCCGGCCAGGCAGTTCTCTTTATTTTTTAAAAAAGGAGTTGATTTAACAGCCACCTCAATGGTGACAAATTTCCAACTTTCTCTTTTTTTTGAGTATCAGTGTGGACTCATGGATTTTAAAGATTCAGTATTTCAATCAACTGCAATCATTCTTTTTGATGCTCAGATTGTCACGACTTTGGTCAGTGGAGACCCTTTCAAGTTGGGTCCTATCATGACCTCATTAATCTTTAAAAGCTTCCTTGCTTTCTGGCACAAGATGTCCCGCATTCACCTCTACCTTTCCTGCTCCAGACCTGGAATCAGCCACTTCTCCAAGGAGCCCTAGCTCCTTTTAGCAAAGATTTTTGAAGACTAAAATCTGAGCACTCAGGGTCATTTGAATTATGTGGCACATCCTTTACAATATGAGGGTCTTAAGGCGACACCAACAGGGTGAACAGCCTAGTAGCCAGTAGGGACTCCAGCCTGCAGCCTTCTTGGCGCCTGGGATTGCCCTGGGAGGAAGATGTGGGAGTGAGTTGGAGTTGATCTGCCAGGGACACACTAGGAACCCCAGGGTCCCTTCCCTTCTAGTGGTGCAGATATGGGGGTAGGGGCTTTTCTGTTCCAGTTCTCACAATCTGAAGGAAGTAGAAGCTCCTACTGAGTTCTGGAATCAGGTTTCTAAGGAAGGCTCAGTCTGTGCTGAGGCCTGGACTGGCCCCTGACTCCCTCCCTCCCTCTTGGCAGCAGAGGCCTCCGTCCAGCGCTCGGCCTTGGCTCCTCAGGCTCTCAGGTCCTACGCTGCTCTTCTTCCTCCTGTGGCCCTTCATTGTCCAATGGCTCGTCAGACAGTTTCGGACCCAGAAGAGGTGACTTTCAATGGAGGAGTCTCTGCAGACAACGGAGGAGGATCTGTGCCCCTTAGCCTTCCTAGGGTTTAGGAGAACAGCATTAATCCCACCCACCACCACTACCAATTAATGTTTGCCTTAGCACTCCCCCCCCCCATGGGGGGGGGCGCAAATAAGACCCTACCCTTCCCTGCAGCCTCAGAAGGATGCTTCCGCCACCTCCCAACCCCCAAACCATCCCAGATTTCCTCGGAAGGTTGCAGTGCGGTGCACATCCTGGGTTCTGGGTTGGCCAGTGATTCGGGGTGGGGCTGCAGCGGCTCAGCCTCTGCCCTCCCCAACCCTGGGTCACCTGACTCTTCTCCCACTCAGCCTCTCCCAGTGGAGGCTCAGCTCTAGGACAGGTTGGGACTTGGGCCGGGTCCTGGGATTGGTTGGCTGGGAGGCTATGGGAGGGGGCCGGGAGGCCCCGCCAAGTTGGGGGAAGGCAGAGAGAGCAGGCTCCGGGGGAGGGGCGTGAGCTGAGTTTGCTAGCCTTCCTCTCCCCACTTATACTCAGGACTTCTTCACTGAAGATTCACTTACAAATGAATGTCTCACTAAATAAAATAAAACCTTAATCTTCTGCGGTCTACAAAGTGAGGCGGAAATCGGGTCCGGAGTGTGCAAGGCACAGTTTCTTCCCTGCTCCCCCCACCCATGTCCCTTCGGACAGCCAGAGAGGCCAGCGGCTGGTGTTTCTGAGGAAGATTGTCCCTCCTCCACGGACAAATGAAGGGAACAAGAGCCGGAGGTCTTTCGAAAAAGTGGAGGGGAGCGGGGATGTCCCCAGAGGGGTGGGGCTGGAGCGTTGGGGGAAGGGGAGGGGCTGCACCCGCAAGGGGGTAGGGGCAAAGGGCCCAGTCCTCCCCGCCCCTCCCCGTCGGGGGCCTAGCGGGAGCCTGGCGTAGCTGTCACCACCAGAAGGCGAGAGTGGCCGCTCCCTGCTCTCTGCGTGGGCACATAGGGCTGGGGTCCAGACTCCCGGGCCGGAAGTGCCCACTGCTCGCTTACCTCTCAGATGCTCACTCCCCGTGACCCTCGCGGTCGGGCTTTCCCAGGGAACTTTCTGGAAGTCCAATACCAAGTGGGAGCCTTTCCCCCCGCCCTGCCCTTAGGCATGCGGGTGGGGACCTGCGCGGGGAGCAGGGGTGGGCAGAACACCTGAGTGGGTACGGACCTCCCAGTGACACTGGCTGCTGGGGCACTGAATTTATTTTTCTCACCACCTGGCAATCTCTCGGCCTTCCTCTGGTCAGCACCAGACCTGTCGTCCAGGCAGTGCTGATGCCTCAGAGCCCACTGGCTATGTCCCCATCTGTGGAGGGCTGTAGCAGCCTTGAGCCCCCTGTAGCTGCCACCACTTGGGCCCCAGGACCTTCCTGCCCCTGGGTGAGGTAGAGGTAATTCTGAAGGCCCCTCCTTGGAGACCCTTCAACTCCTGAGTTACCTGGGTCAACCCCTGGCCTTGCCCACTCTCCCAGGCTTAGCCATCACTCGCCCCACTGGAAGCCAGGTCACTCTTTGACCCTCAATCCTCAAGGCAGTATCCCTCAGAACAGACACATGGGCCTTGCTGCTCCACAGCTGGCCCAGGGTTATAAGCAGAGGCAACAGCAGGGCAGTGAGAGACAGAATTGGTGCTGGGGATGCAGGTGTGGGGCAGAAGCCAGCTCCACCACTTGCAAACATTAATTGTGTGACTTGGGCAAGACAAGATATTAATTACTCTGAGCCTGGGTTGTCTTGTTTGTGAAATAAGGATGATAATCTCTTTATCATAAGGCAGTCCTGGGATTTAAATTACCAGGACATACAAAATGCCTGGCAAAGGGTTAAAACTCAGCTGGGTACCTGGCCTTCTGTTTGATAGCATTCTAGAATTCTACAAACTATTAATTTGGGCACCCCTCCCCCAATATGACAAATGAGCCCATACAGCTGAGTCCTGCCCAGTAAACTGAGGCTGGGCTCAGCTATACCTTCCAAATCCCCTGACTGAGGGTACCCAAGAGTCCTTTGGAGTCTGAAAATGTGGTAACAAATTGTAGTTCTCTGACTCCCAGTGTGAGGGGCAGTGCTTGCTCTGAGGAGTCTCCTGCTTGCCTGATGAAACAGCACAGAAGGCAGGCTTTTCAGATGGACCTGAGTTCTTGGAAGCTCAGGGAAAAGCTGGGATGCTCAATTTCAAAACATCTGGCTGTGCCCCAGAGGCACTCTTGCTTACCTCTCCCTTTGGGCATGCCATCACCACTTTGTCACAGAACCTCTCTTGAATTCCCAGACAAATCCCTTCTTTGGACACGATGCTTACTCTTCATAGAACACCCTTCTTTATGCCACTTTGCCTGAAAACGATTCATCCCTCAGAGACAGCCAGTAAATCACTTCCCCTTGAAACCTGTACACAATCATCAACTCCTAAGCAGCTTGGCTCACAGCTCCTATCTGATTTTGTCCCCTGTCATTTTGGCTCACTGTGGTTTGATGGCTTCTCTATACAGTCCACGAGCAGCAAGGATGACATATTATTCATCATTGTGCCCTCCTAACAAATTGCTAAATGAAGAAATAAGAGCCCAAATTATGATGAGGCGGTTAGGAATGAAAAGGAACTAAATCCAGAGTCCTTGAGGAAAAAGGGAATTTTGCGTTTGCGACAAAGAAACACAGGGGTCACAAAGACCTTCACACAAGCTGGAATTGCCACTTAGTTGTCATGTGACCTTGGACAAGTCACTTAATTTCTGAGTCTTAGAGACTTCTTAGCTCTAAAATGGAGACAATAATTTCTATCCTTATTCGCTGGGCTGTGGTGGGGTCAAATGGCTCTGTGGTAAAAGCACATTATACGGTGAAAAGCGGTTAGAATGTCAGCCATTGCTTTTAAGGAAGAAATAATAAGAATGGGTCACTGGGTGTGTGGCAAGAGGGAGAAGTTAGGATTAGAACAGATTTTAGGCCTAAGTGATTAGGACCAAGGGTTTGGGCTACTCCCAGGCCCTGTCCTTTGTTCAGAATCTGGAGAATTTTCTCAAGAACAAG